GGCAATGGCCATCACTGCAGAGACGGTTTTCAGTGGCTTCAAAAACAAAGACAACGTCAAAACCGCGCTCTGCAGGGTCCAGCTTGGCCCCAATACAGTGGTGAGGAGGGTCGAGGAAATGTCAGGGGACGTGGATCGACAAGTACTAAAAGACTTGTCACACTGTAAATATTTTTCACTACAGTTTGATGAATCCCTGGATGTAATGGACACAGCTCAGCTTGTTGTATTTGTCAGGATGGCGTTCCTGGACTCTACAACAAAAGAGGATCTCCTCACTCTTTTGCCTTCTATGAACAAAATAATTACCTGAGACAAAAGGAAATAGGCCACACCTTTATTTTTGTGTTGGACATAAAGCTGTACTTGGCCTAATTGCATTGACTGATAATTTTGTTAGCATTACAGTTCTATTTTCTAAATGCTGATATTAATGTGACTTGAATGAAGCTTCAGTGGATAAGCATAACACTTGATATTATCTGCTTGTCTACCATACAACAAAATACTGTCCTCATGTAGGTGGAAAATAGGTCACATGCCTTTACTGTTTGTGTTGAAATGAAATTGAATAATGAAACTTAGAATTGAAGTTGATGTGTTGTAGAATTCTCAAAGCAAGCTTTGGCCAGTTTGATATGCTAGTTACAGTGTTTTCTTGGTTGCATTAATTTGAATGTTGGACCAAAGCATTTCATGTAATTCAAATACAATTAGCCTGAATAAAAGGCGTCAAGTTGGAAGTACAATCTGGGCTGTCTTTTTCTTTCAACGCTTCAATAGGTAGATCTTGCCTGTCACCAAGGTGGAGGTCAGGGATCTTGGGGTTAAAAAGGTTGGAGACCACTGCTTTAGGGCATGGCTACCTTGTGATTGACAGCTCATTCTCAGTGAGCCCGTCCAGCTCAACGCAAAAACTCATATCAAACTGTCAACTAGGCAGTGCTGATCAAATATGAATCAAGATTCTGTCACTGCATTGACCATTTCTCTCCTCAAATCTTTTCACAAACACATTTTGTGTGTGCTGTTTATCTGGAATACAAGAATATGTGTGACCAGGCGAGCTGCCATTGTTTCCTTCTATGGATGAGTTGAAATCAAGCGCAGCTCAACTCGCAGTATGTCGCAAAAAACTGTCATGGCAACAACCACAATGCCAAACTTGAGGCTTCAAAATAGTACTCCACAAACTAATGGATGATGTCATGATTGATTCACATCACATTTATCCTAATCCTGTTATAATAACATGTCTTTACCCTACTTGAGGTTAGTTGAGTAAAAATTATTAGGTAAATAAAACCAGTGATTTCGAATCAACTTTATGCCTGAAATAATATACAGGCATACAGAAATATACACATGCACTGTAATGAATGCCCTCATCGGTCTGCAGTCTAGATAATTAATGAGTTGCCTTGTAGACTGTCAGGCAATAGCAGTGTGTGTGTGTATGTGCTGAATTAACCAAACTCACCTTGCTGTTATTAAGTATTGTAGGAGGGTGTCAGACTATGAGTGCTGAATAATGGTGTGCAGTGGAGGACACAAGGGCAAACAAAGGATCAGGCTCACTTTAGACCCACTGCAACTGCCAACCAAATGACTTGGATCACTTGCCAGTAAATTGATGTTTAAGCTACAGGTGCTATGTTTGGGTCAGGAGATGTTATTTGGTCACGCAATAGAAATGACTGAGAGTTTTCACACAGTGGCAGACTGCTAACTTCATGAGCCTGTGTTTATCCTCTGAAGCCTATACACCGCTGGTGGTGAAGCTCTGGACCAGACATGTCTGGCTCATGCATCCTGGAAAACCTGGACATTTTGAGACTTGTTTTCCAGTCAGGAAAACACCTGGAAAATTATTAAAATGACCAAATATCCTGGAAATAATCAGTGTCGTTCTGGAAAGTTTTAACTGCACTTTAGCCTATGCTATGGCCAAATTATTGTTACAGTGAGAGGAAACTGTAGTCGAGTCAGAAAGCTGGGGTGAGAAAAAGCAGGAACCCTGGTCTGCTCAGCTTGATGGATTACATCTGAGGAAGTCATTGGACTGGAACCTGTATCACATTTGGGGGATACACAATGAAATGAACAGGTGGAAGGGTGGAATATGGTAATCTCTTTAAACTACAGTATATCTGACTGTAAGTGCTGTTATAATATAAACATGGTTTGAAAAACAATGAGCAAATAAACACACAACATTGACATATTTTTACATTTATTTATTAACCTGTGACACATAATGGACAATGTTTTAGAGCTCACCCTAAATCTCAAAGTAGTAGCCCAGCTCCCGTTAGTTGCCCCGTAATTCAAACCATGACAACAATGGAAGAGGACTTCCTCCTTCTGTAGATAAAAACAGCTCATTCTAAGGTAACTAAACGATGATTTATCCCTGGACTAATGAGTTGAAATCTTTATGTTACTTGAAAGAATTGTCATTCATTTTCCAGATATGCAATATTCAGGAGAGTAGGAGTAAAATGTTTCTCAGGTATAGAAAAATATGGTCAGTTGATACATGGTATAAACCAAAATTAGGGATTTAAAAGAGTATAACTTAAACAAAAGACAAAGATCTGCACAGTTGCGTAAAGGAACATTACCATTAGCCCTAGCGCAGGTAGGTTTAATGTCCCTTCAGAGGAGGACAGACTGTTTGTTGTGTGATCTAGGTGAAACTGAGAATTAGGCTCACTTTTGAGGACATAAAGAATGTACCTTTCAGTGAAATGTCCTCCATTTATGAATTCTTTTGGCTTGATGATTATGAATAACCTGTATTGGGCATGGCCTGAGAGAGGGCCTGGGGTGGCACGGGCCTTATATCTTATCTTATTGGGTTCTACGGGTACCCACGAGTCTCCCCTTTGCAGACCACTTCATACTAACCCCATGCAGTTTGGGGCAAAAAACCATGCAGTTTTTTGCATTTGGTATACATGTTATTTATGTTTTCGCCTAGTGTATTGGAATATTTCTACATAGTGGAGTCTATAAACAGTTTTGGAATTGCATCGATTGGGAATAACTGACACATATTTCATGCCACCCCTGCATAAGTCAATGGCCCACTTGTGCCACCACAGTCAAAAGTGTCTGGAAATGCCCCTGGACAGAGGGCAGAATATTTTGTTTAAGACCGAGCAGTATAATAATCTAGAATTTGTAATTTTGTAATGGAATCAAATGTTTGATAATTGCAACTGCATTTTTTTGCTGTCTTGTAAGCCTTGTAAAGGTTGGGCCCTTAGTGTGCATTATATAAAAATAAAATCAAACTCCGCCAACCCGCCAAATGCGGGTTAAAATCATTTTGGTGGGTGTTAATAAAAACGTACTAACCAGTTTGGCCGGTGAGGCATGAGGCAATCATGTCAGTCAGAGCCGCTCTACTGTTCTCGCTCCCTGGGCAGTACTGACTACATTTCCCATGAACACTGTCGTGATGCTACGTGATGACGTATAAGACGCCCATTGGCTGCGCGCAGGCAGTGCAACCAACCAGCGCGAGAAACCATGGAAACAGAAAACACAAAGAAGAAGAAGAAGAAGAAGAAGAAGAAGAAAAAGAATGAACAGAGCAGAAACTATCAAAAGAAGGGAGGGAGCTAGCTAAACTAAATTAAAAAGTAGCCTAAACTTAAACTAAATGCGGCGGTGGTTGGTTGGACAGACGTCTGGGGGCGAGAAGAGGAAGGAGGCGGGGGATGAGATTGAGAATATCAACAACAATGCGTGCGAAACGAACAAAAGAAAGTTCAATGCCAAATGGCTGACGGGTCGTGAATGGCTTGTGTTTGATCACAAAAATGTCGTCATGTTTTGTAAGGACTGCCGCATTTACGCAAAAGAAAAAAACAAAACAAACAATTTCGTGGTGGGAACTAATAATTTTAAAGTCGCCCGGAGTCATCAGGAGAGCTTCAGGATTAAATCTGCCAAAACAGGTCGTATTGAAGAGAGCCTTGCTGGGAGAAGCCTTTCTTTATTAAAAACGTCGGAGCTGGAGAAGATGCAGCTACTTTTTTCGAAATGCCCACGCCATCGGAAAAAGGGTGTCCTTGATCTCTTTGATGCTCTCCTCACCATCCCTGCAACTACAGCTGATTGCGAAAAGAGGGTTCAGTGTGATGAATCAGGTAAAGAGTGACTGGCGCTCACGCCTGAAAGGTGAGACCCTCTCTGACCTCCTGAAAACCCAGTTGTGCTCACCTGACATCAAAGACTTCGATCTAACCAAACCACTGACATCTGGCATGCTGACAGTTTGCGCTCACGCAGGCCTGAGTTTGTGAGAGAGTGCTGAAGAAATTTGATGCGGTAGAGCTCTGAAATTATCAAAATGAAAAATAAATGATTTTTTTGTTGTACGCATGTACTGTATGTGTATGTATTGTACTTGGATTGTGTTAATAAAATCCAAAATGTAAAAATAATTCATTCAGCGGCACTCATCTCTCGTATCTAATCTCTCTTATTTTCACTGGAAAAAATTAGTTTAGTTTAAATTAGCTAGTGGAAATTCTGATTGGCTGGTAATCAAAAAAGTTAATTTAGAACCCTGATTATTATACACTAATGAAAATATAGCTATGAATAGTATATTCTATTTCTGACAATAGATCCTCCTAAATGTTACACAGTGGAATGGAAATAAATGTGCATTTAATCAACCAATATCCAAATTATGGAAGCATTTCGGATTTGGTATCAAAATAACAAGAAACTTTTTCAATATTTTGAAAATAATGAGTCAATATTTTGAGATGCTAGTCATTATAGTGAGAAAGTTTCTCACTATAATGACTTACACAATCTATTTATTTATTTTAACGTCACACTGGCAGAAATGGGCTTCCATACCAAACTGAGTTGGGGAACACAGGGGCCCAAAGCTAATTTTTACCCCCAGGGTAAAGTAGTGGCTTTATCCAGCCCTGCTTCAGGTTCTCAGGCCACCGGTCCTGACTCCAGTCCGCTATGATCCACTCCTTCTTATCCTCCGTCCCCTCTCTGTATGCAGCGCTGTGATTGGACGCTGGCTGCTTGTCAGGAAGAAAGAGCTGCTGTGTTGAGGCCGAAAACTCAGACACAAGCAGGACCTGGAAGATACCGGAGTACCTCGGTGGAAGGGATATACACTCTACTTAACACTCGGAAGGCGTTTTGAAGCAGCCGGGCTATAGCGGAGTGCCGACCGGCTCTCCGTGCTCCTGCTGTCGAGGCCGCCGCGGTTCTGTGCCCCCCCCCCCGCCGACTGTGTGTCGCTGCCTGCTGGTCACAGTAATCCAGACCCGCTGCTATTAACGACACTGACGCTGTTGTGTGGCGACGCAGCCACGAACCTGTCTAAGATTTAAGTCTGTATCCAGTGCGGAGACATAAGGACTCAGCTGTTGCTGCCGGTAGTCGGGGTTTAACGAGTGAGGCTGCCGGGACCGGTTAAACATCCCGATAAAGCTCCAACTACATGGAACAAGTCGGCGGCTCATTTTGCGCTAGAACTGTTATGACTGACCCTTAAGACAGTCGTCTCGTTTTGAAGCAGCACCGCGGGCTCTATCCGAGGATTTATTTGATGAAGACATCCTGAAAGCGGCAGTTTGAAGCCTCTGCATCAGGTGAGTGGCACCCGCAGTTACCCACCAAGCACGGCGACCTCACCTCACACCAGCCCCCACATTCTGACTCGCTTGCCCCCGCGATATTTTTTGAACGACTTGTGTGGTTTTCACTTGTTATCTTAACCTTAAAAGTCCTTGCGGTTAAAATTCCATTAAGGCCTCTAATATGTGTGTTAACCAGCAACGCAGCAGATTTACGTTCTGTGTCCAAACATACAGGGCAAAAACACTCCATTTAATTCCCTCCGAACAGTAAATACAGCGGGGGGAGAAGATTAACAGCACATGGGTACAGCCAGCCCTCCTCTGAGTTTCCCAGCTGTCGCATTCTGATTCTTCGTGTGTAAGAAATCTTAAAAGACAGCGCGAAAAAGCTTCTTCGTTATTAGCTTTTAGAAGTATGCTAATTCTTGTCCCTCTCCAGTCCTCGCGCGTGTTGTTTTCTGAGCACGCGGATGCGTCTACAGGCATACGTAACGGTGGCGCGAGCTGAATGGCAACAGTTGCACTTGCACACAGGAGTGCTCCGGTATAACAGCTAGCCAAAACGTTAAGCTAACACATCTTAAAATTTGCCACTCTTTACTGCTCCTTTTTTGTAAGTAAGTAAATAGGAAGATAGGACAGTAAACAATATTAAATTCAATTAATCAATATGTTGTAAATAAAAGTAAAAAAATGTTTTATAGACCAAAGCAGTTCAATTGTATCCAGTAGTTTAGAATTCTGATTAATGTCATTTTAAATTAACAACAAATTAACATTAACAAAATTTTGCCCAAAGACCATCGCCCAGTGCTTGCTCATGGTGGTACTGTTGGGTCTCTGTAATTAATGTTATAAAGAGTTCGGTCTAGACCTGCTCTATTTGAAAAGTGTCCTGAGATAACTTCTGTTATGAATTGGCGCTATACAAATAAAATTGAATTGAATTGAATTGAATTGCTGTCCTGTGAAAATCGCAATGTCCACTTCCTACACTGAAACCAGATTAGTTCATTTAACTAAAAAATTTAAATTTGACACATATCATTGACTGAGGAGGACTTTGTGACACAAACTGCTTTTCACAAACAAATGGATAACATGCACAACAGTTTCTTAACAAACAAAGTGCTTTTGAGCTAGTGTGAAAAACATCATCGTTTGTTATCATTGACAACCCTTAAACCTGCGTAGGATTTGTGAAGAAACAGCAATCAGTGATTAAAACCTCATATTAAGTGTTCCTTTGAGTAAATTACTCCATTATCATGCCCCATTAGCTGAGCCTGATAATTTCTAAAAATCCTAAAAATACTTCTCTCATTATATATAATATAACGACTACAAGATACCAGAGTAGGCTGCTACCAATAATTATTTTTACCAATATTATTGTCTTCACAATTTCCCAGAGCCAAATGTGATTTCATGATTGATTGTTTTGTCTAGCAATTTAAAATCCAAAGGTAATCAGTGTTTAAAGATATAAAGAAGAGAACAACAGCTTTGGAAACAGTGAATGTTTACGGTTCTTTTTGAGAAAGACTTAATGATTCACTTTCTATTGATTGATTCATTGACTAATTGTCTTCTGTCTGCTTTTTTTGTTGGACCAACATTCCAGCTGCCCATAGGGAATCAGTTTATGACTATAAAACATACAAAATCAGCAAATTATCATGTTGGTGAGACTGTAACTAGGTAATATTTGATTGATTCGTAGACCTAATGTTCTTTTGTGTAAAGAGTCATGATTTAACATTTATTTTCACTGACATCACGGGACTTGGCTTGGGAACCGGACGGTTGCCGGTTCAAGTCCCACAGACCACAATATGGAGTGTGGACTGGTAGCTGGAGAGGTGCCAGTTTCACCTCCTGTGCACTGCCGAGGTTCCCTTGAGTAAGGAAACCTAACCCCAAGAAACTGCTGGGGCGCTGCTAACAAGGCAGCCCATCACTCCACCATCTCTCTCCATGTTTGCATGTCCACAAGTGCTGTGTGTGTGTGTGTGTGTGTGTGTGTGTGTGTGTGTGTGTGTGTGTGTGTGTGTGTGTGTGTGTGTGTGTGTGTGTGTGTGTGTGTGTTTTAGAGGTGTGAATTGTCACTGATCTCCCGATTCGATTACGATTATCATGTCAGCGATTCGATTCCTCGATGCATCACGATGCTTCAAATACATTTTTCTATTAAAGCCATATAAGATATTTGACTTGACGGATGCATTAAGATACTGTATAGTTCAATATAATACAGTTTTCTATATTACTTCATATGGTTGTTTTCATCCAAAAATACAAGTAGTAAGATACGAACAATCTTTTTTATTTAACAGTGTGAACACAGCAGACAGCACACACACACACACACACACACACACACACACACACACACACACGCAACACGCACACACACATCTCCCGATCGTGTCATTAGACAGAGGGACAGTATTCAGTGTCTCAGCACTTTTCTCACCTATGACTGTGACCATGTCCAATGCTGCCGGAGTATTAGCTCCTCTGCTATTGTGTGATGGTTTTTTGCACCTTGCGATGTGGCGGTGTTTGTATGAGGATAACGGTGCGTTTTTATTTACTGATGCTGCGCTCACTAAATGACCGGCCTGTTGGCGATACGCATCGAATATCCAATGAAAAAAGTCCAGTGGCTTATTGACAGAACTGGGGTGTAAGGTCTCCAGGTGCCGTCTTAAATTGTTTGGTTTCATGCTGTCCACTGCGTTTTTTTTAAACATAAAACACACACAGGTCTTTCCTCATTTCCGACTGTATTCACGGTAAACCCAAAGGTTATGTAGGCTACGTCTTATTTCCTGCTCTTATTAGGTTTCTGCCGGTTACCATCACTTGCTGTTCTTTCCTCTGACGTCTCCTCCGTTTTTCTTTTTACTCCTGTCAGAAACTTCTCCATCTCTCCTCCTCCGTCAGTCCCCCCCTGACTGAGAAGTAGTCTAGTGAAACGTTAGGCTACTGAGAATGTTATTTTTCATTTGAATGTTTATGCCGCGGCCGGAAAATTAAGGAGCGACATCATTGCGTTATAATCTATTATGGTCGGCCACTGCATCGATGCAGCATTGTCCATGTCTGCATCGTGATGCATCCATTATTTGATTAATTTCAACACCTCTTGTGTGTGTGTGTGTGTGTGTGTGTGTGTGTGTGTGTGTGTGTGTGTGTGTGTGTGTGTGTGTGTGTGTGTGAGATAAAAGAGTGAAAAGAACAATTTCTCCAATAGGGGATTAATAAAGTAGGCTATATATCATCATCAAACCATGTGTATTTGAACAACAACAAAAAAATCTATTAACCTATTGCTGCTGTCACTGAAATATCTAGGGCTGCGTATTGCGTATTGGCTGTGGCTCAGAGGCATAGCGGGTCATTCCTTAATCAGAAGGTTGTGGGTTCGATCCCCGGCTCCTGGTGCCACGTGTTGAAGTATCCCTGAGCAAGATACTGAACCCCAAATTGCTCCCGATGCCGTGCATCGGTGTGTGTGAGTGTGTATGAATGTTAGTTTCTGTTTGATGGACTTTGCCATCACTGAGTGAATGTGTGTGAAAGGGTGAATGTGGCACATAGTGTAAAAGCACTTTGAGTGGTCGGAAGACTAGAAAGGCGTTCTACAAGTACAGGTCCATTTACCATTTATTGTTCAGACATTTTAAAAATACAGGTACTGATACTTTAATTTTAACAAAAAGAAAGTACAGTATACATTATGGCACAAGTACTCACTTCAAAGGAAGAAGCTGTTCAAAGACCTGGGAGCAGCTGGAGAAACTGTTTTCCCTCTGTATACTTTACTACTCAAACATGATCACTGAACAAAAATGAAAAAACTGAATATCTGTACAGTATTTGACCAAATAAATAGCTGTCCAACTGTACAGATCTGGTACAGTTGAGTAGCTTGTGGTAAAAAAAAAAAAACGCTGATGAGTTTTACTCTGTTGGTATTGAAATTTTGTATGAATGACAGGACTTTTTTAAGACTTTTGTAGGATCTACGCATGGTCACTGATGAAAGTGTCTGTCTATATCTCAAATGCCAAGTTTAGGAACAAAGAACCTTGTGACATTTCGAGATAGCCCTATGATTCTGAAGGGCTTTTAATCCACTTTATAATAATAATAAACGTTATTTATATGGTTCCATTCAAAACCAGGTTTACAAAATGCTTTACAGGGTAAAAAGAACAAAACAGGAATCATGGAGGTGTTAATCATAAAACAATGATAGCACCATCAAGAAAACAATACCCAGAGGCAAGCAACAACCATCAAACTCTGTAAAATAAATAAAAATAAGAGCTAAATTAATAACAACAAAGGTGTACAAAAGGTAAGATGGAAGGATCCCAGGAAGGCAAGATTATAAGTGTGTTTTAAGAAGAAACTTAAATGAAATGATGGAATTAGCCATCCTGATCGCCAAAGCTTAGGGGCCCTGATGGCAAATGCTCTGCTACCTTTGTTTTATAATCTGGATTTGTGAACCATCAGGAGAGCAGCATTTATAGACCTCATAAGAATGCAATCCTTACCCTTCAACTTGAGTTCAGACCATTCATCACCATGAAAATATACTCTAAGCTTTTAAAATGGGAAATGGATATTCCTGTATTAAAACATACTGGAAACACTTTTCCATACATTTAGTTAAGAAACACATTCATTTATTGAATCACAGATAGGAAACTCATCTCCCTGTTCTTTTTTATAATCTATACTATTTCAACACATACTGTTAAACTTTTTTTTGTGCGATATGCAACAGACTAGCTGAGCCTTCAGCCATGCTGGCAGGCTTAGGATTTTGACTGGAAAAATGCGGGCTCCCCCTTGTTCAAAATAAATCAGGAAATGATCATCGAAATTCACTGCGATAAATGTATTTGTCCCTAGTTATGCAGAAGTTGAAAAACCGGAAGAAGGGAGCGCAACAAGATGACATAATAAAAAAAAAAAGCCAGTTGATCCTCAAAGGGTTGAAAACACTACAGAAAACAGAATCGAAATATGACTTGTATGTATATGATTTCTAACTAACCCTATGTATTTTGTGGTTTCTATCGTGATACGCTATAATATTGTATATCGTCCCATCCCTAGTGTAGATGAAACCAGGTTTTGACCCTTTACTGGCATTTGATCTTGACTGTAAAAGGGTTTTGTCTATAATATCATGGTGAGCAAGTTCACCCCACCTCAGAGAATTAGGCATCTAGGTTTAGACACTTAAACGCAATGAGTCAATAATCTGTATACAATCGATAGCTCCATCTATACGTAGTGTATCAGTGTTATGTCTGTTGGTCTTCATTAATGAGTGTGGAGGCCCACTCTCAGGGGGATATATGGTGAAACAGCAAACAAGCCTGTTCTGTCCACTGCTTCATTGATTTGCCCATTCCAGGCCGGCGGCATTACACAGCCACATTTCAGGTGATGCACTCATCACGATGTAATCACTGGAGATATTGTGGAAGTTAATGCCCCTCCACTGGAGATCGGCTCAAACTCTCAGACTGCTGCCGTATGTGTGATGGAGCTGACAGCACAGTTTGACCTCTGCAGACAGACAGGGGAAATCCACAAGTCTCAGGCAGGATGTGTAAAATGTAGGGCATTGTTGGATTGCTAACATGTATTTTTCTTTGAACAAATCTGGCTTTTTTTTGTACTCACTAAATTGGGGAGAAAAATGGCAAAAGGACCTCATCAATAATGCTCTTTCCAGACTGTGTATGTGGTCCTTCATGCTGTATGCTGATCCAGCTACTACAGCAAAGAAAAGATGATAAACAAGTCATTTACTGGAGTTAATTGGAACTGTGTGATAGCATGTCCTGCACCTAACAGATTCCCATCAGGCCACTCAAGTCATTTCATTTAATACAAGAGGCAAACAAAGAAAACCATGTCATGTTACTGCTTCTGCGTTCTGATTATCTGAGTGGCTATTTTCAAATGATTTTACGCTAACTGGATAACATTGAAACTTCAGTTTGTTCAATTTGCACCGATGCTGTTCTCATTAACACTGTAGACTTGGCATTATGTCGAGTAGGGTTGCAACAGTATGAGATGTTTGTACTATGATAACAGAAAATATAATGGTTTCATGGTATGCAGTAAGTTACAATGACCCTTAAGTTTTTTTTAATTATGTCCTGAAAACACTAATATGGTAAATTTTAATATATTTTTAAAATAACATTAATACAGTAGAATTCAGGAATGTAACAATAGCAAGGCGGTTAAATCGAATACATGAATATTCAGATCAGGGAGATGAAAAATTAATGGTGATACTTTTTAAACAGCAGAGGGCCGTAGCCGGTGGAATTTCAGGTTAAGATGATAACAGACAAGACATGGCGAGAGATATGAGGCCATTTTCTGTAGGTGACATGGTTATATCTTCAGTTTCACTTTTACAAAGAAAAGGGAACATGGATTATTTTGCACAGTTTATACCCTACCCCAGAAATAAAAAAAAGTATTCTTTAGATTGAAACAAAACATAAAAGTAGATTTTGTAGATTTTTGTTTGAGAAATTAAGGAATAATTAGGCTTCAATCTAATTTTGTCAAAAAAAATGTAGAAATTCACGTCATGAATCCAGTGTCGCCGATTGTGTCAAATTGTGAGTGTATCGTTACATCCCTAGTAAAATTAAATTAGTACTATACACTAATATGATAGAATTCAATGTCACATAAACCAGTGTACATGGTATGATAAGTGTACATTTTCATACTGTTGTATCTGTATACCACTGCAACCCTAATTTCAAGTTAAGTCAAAGCATTTTTTATCATATGCACAGTTAAAACAAGATTCCTGGTACAATGTAATTCTTCCTTGTATCATTTGAATCCGAAAAAGGAAAGGAAGTATCCAAGAAAAGCATATGCCTCCATTACAGACTGGCGTGTGTCTGCCTCATGGAGCCAGCTGTGAAATGCGTCAGTCAAATGACGCATGAATGATTATTTGTTTTCACATCCACACCCAGAACTGTAGTATACTGTCTGACTTCACAACAGCTGATTCTTACTTTGTGGTCCATCCACGTACAGCAGTCTGATTTTATTATTATTATTATTATTATTATTCTAGTTTCAGTGTTGTGTACTCGAGCTGTTGAGCCCAAACACATCTAGTCATTGCCCTAGAACTTTCATTGCAGAAATGTTTTAAAGCTAACTCATCAATTGACAGGATGGATAAATGAAATGGTAATTATGCTGCATTTATTCAAAGAGCAGTCAAACTTAATGTGTATGATTATCATGTTGCTTAGAAATGCCAGTCTTCAGTACCTGTGAGTACTGACCATTTCAGGCACTTATACTGTACATTTTCTTACCGTTACTTGAATAGAAAATAAATAAGGAAAGAAAGAGGGGCTTTCTACTTACAATACTCCCAAGTAGCTGCCTGATCAGTTAAAACATTCTAGGGGCCAGCAAAACTCTGATCTACTGGCCAAGTGGGCCAGTAGTGGGGTAAATGTTAACGGTGGACCCTGTGATCTGCTCAAATCCAAATCCTTTGGAATCTGTTTCTGAATCTGTTTTGGTTCAGCTTTCAACATTTGCAGGTCACTAAGTTAGATGTAATATAATGTAATGTAACAGTGTTACTACTGTGGCTAAAGATGAACAACAGAAGACCTGAAATGTTAATGGAATGTATATGCGAAACACTGGGACATCCCATGTACAAAGGCTGGATCTCGTCACTCTTGGGCTGATCCTGTAAAATAAAAAGTCCTGCCAAAAAATCTAAAACATATATCTAGGCCCTTTATATTAGGGAATCACGGCCAAAACGACCTTTATAGTATATAAAGCATACAAAAGCATCCAATTTAATAGTAAAATATATATATATATATATAGTAACATATCTAGAGCAGAGTGAAATGAATCCAATGATTACAGATCCTAAATGTATCTGGTGCAGAGAGGAGTGGATACAGGTAGAATAAGGACTCATGCCAATAACTGGCCCAAAATGACAGGTTTGACCTTTTTGATGATCTAATACCCCTGTTATTTTTTGGAATTAGGTTATATATTGGAATTTAGAATATTCGCTGACAGCCCTAATGCACACACTCTCAGAACAGTGTGGATCCTGATTAGAGGATGCATCACAGAGGCATGGCTCACTGATTATTATCATAATCATCATACTTCTGTCTGATGTCTCTCAGTTCAGAGAATGAGACATTTCCTGTTCACCTCTGGCTTTCAGTCTTTGATTATCTGTCCATATCAAACCACAAGCCACATAAGGGGTTAAAAAGTCAAATGAAATGGGTCAGAAATGTAAATTATGTTCACCAGTGTTTTTCTAGGTCATTGAAACTGAGCAAAATATGTTAAAGCAATGCTCAAATCTTTCAAAGACTTTGTGAAACTAAGGTCCATAAATAGAAATGCATCCACTGATTAATCAGGGTATTTTATTCACATTGTTTGATGTACAAATGTTTTATAAGATTTCAGAGTCAGTATCTGTAATGAAATCGCTTTGTGTACAGTACAAGAAATGTTCTTTGCATAGAGTTAAGATCTTTGATTGTTGAAAGTTGTCCCTCGAGCTCATCTTTAATGGCTGTTCCTGGCAGGAATTGGCATTCCAAAAACCATAAGAGACTTTAGAGGTGGCACATTATGAAGAAATAGGACATTTTCTCAAGCGAGCACGCCATCATTAGAACAGACCAGTAGTATCATGGGGAGCACAAGAACCCTTACCAGCACTTACATTCCTTAATTGTCAAGACAGTTGTGTGGATTTTCTCCACATGACGGATCAGCTGTTTCTGCTCAGACTCCTCATTGCTCCCATGACTCCGTAATACATCTGTGATCGCTGCACATAGATCTGATGGAACCTTCCTCTCATTAATAAATTAAATTAACAGAAAGGTCATATTTCCATCCTGTTTTCTGCATTGTTTTTCACCCTTTGAGGTTCAGCTTGGGCTCTTTTAATTACGTCATCTTGTTGCGCCTTCTTCTTCTTCTGGTACTCCGACTGCTGCGTAATGGTAGTGGATGGAAACATTATGCATTCATTTTCTTATGCCGAGTTACTGGTTAAAATTTGGTATGTGTTTTATCTAAATAAGTTATTAAATAATTTTTTTGGACGGAGTGGTCCAGACTAACCCACAAATTTCACTTGGGAGGGCTGCGGCGCGTCCCGAGAACGTCCCAGACGCGGCTCTCTGATCTGCTCCGCGTGGAATACGCGGCTGGTCTATTTGTGACAGAAGCTACGACCCACTTGCGTCAAGCAGCACAGAGCAGATCGCACAGACACAGAAACGACAGAGAATCTTGTCTGGTTTCAAAATAAAATATTGCGTATAGAGTCTGTGTCGTATTTTACACTAGATCAACATTGAAGCATTAGGTCAGAAGTCAGTCAGAGGCAGGTTAGAAGAAATTTTAGATGGATTATAACACCATCTTTTATCCCTTTTTTAAGGACCAAATACACAAGTAAACAACATATGGCAGGCAAAAAGCTCTGAAGACGATCTGCTTATGAAATGCTCTTGGTGGAATTCGAAGACACGCGGATTACGGAGCCAAACCGCGACGCAGACGTGACGTTATAAAGCCGTGCCCGCTGGAATTTTGGGGTAAGTCAATTTAATAACATGGATGGATGCTGGGTGATTGGTGTGAGTCAGACAGGCTGTGAAATGAGACGGTGCGATTGCAGCGTTTCCCAGACGTACAGAGGCATCAGGGTGACTGTTCACTGCCCTGAAGAGATACTGCTGAAATAACCTCTGACATTCAGAGCGAATGGAAAGGACCTTTTCTTTCAATCTTCACTCTGCAGTGGGCGGGCATGTGGGAGTAATTCAGAGGCTGGTAACATGGCTGCTTACCGCCAACATTTGTCTGTTTCATGCAACGACAGGTTTAACTGTGAGAGCTGAGCTCAGACCGGTCTGAGTATTTTAAAAAGTATTTTAAAATGGAAGTACCTTTTTCTTTTCTGGCTAATAGTTGTCTCTTTTTTTTATCCTATTTATCATCAAGTTAATGTTTCCTTTCAGCTAGTGGGTGGTGCATCAGTTCGGTCATATAACGAGTAGTACGCTGTATAAGCCTTCTCTCCTCCAGCTGTTACTAATCGCTGCTAAATTACAGGATAGTTTCTGGTCCAGTGTGCAACTCGTACAGTGTGATCCACCAGTGCACTTACACTGAGAACTTTACAGTGAAGTAGGAGACATCTTGTGTCCAGCAGGAATACTTTAGAAATTAACAACATTTACATATTCAAGAATTTCAGGAAAAGATTCTGGAATTTTAATGAGGTTGAAGGAGTAGATTACTATTTTTAAGGATATCAGTGTGCAAATTATACTTTTTTTTTTTGTGGGAAAAACATGTTAAATCTTACCAGGTTAGACACAAGATGTCCAGATGCATTAATGTAACGACTGCAGCTTCACTAAGTTAAATTTACATTGCGATATGAAACGCATGTCTAGAAGTGTTGTCAATTATTGATTATTATACACAATGAAAATAAAACCAGTTAAAGCAGGAAACACTGAATGAGGCAATTTTAAGTTGTGAGGAGATTGTGCACAGATAGAATAAAAACAAATTTAACCCAGTCTGTAGATAAAAATGGCTCATTGTAAGGTAATGAAATTAATGAAAAAATATGAAATTTGCCTTGACTTATTGGTTTCTCAGAGTCTCAAAGAAATGTTGCAGTTTTCTTTGTGATTATCTCCTACAAATATGTCAGCATAGTAAGACTGCTCAGTACCAAGTTAAAATAAGGTCCCAATTTCAAAAGACAAATGGTCATTTTAGAATAGCCTGTGGCAGAAGGTGGCTCAGTGGATTTTACTGATAAAAAGAGACATTTTAATAGCAATGAGTGCTAATGAATGTGATTAAAAGCAGCGCAGTTTGAATGCAAATATATGGAGCTAACCCTGTCAGGCTCCCGGACACACCTGGACCAGAGAAACAGCAAGCCAAATGCTGGATTACCGAGTTAGCTTGTTTTGAAATTGTGCAGAAGGGTAAGCTGCACTGCTGTCAAGACAGCTTCAGTAAACGTAGACCCAGTTAACATGGCTTACACTGAACACTGGTTAAGGTGCATTACCCATGGTACTCTGGGCATTGTAAGAGTTGTTCTGACTGGGGGCTGGGTATCAAGTCTTTTTTTCTTTTTTTAAATACGTGCACACATATAAAATTAAAAGCCTTCTAAATTTTCAGTGGTTTAATTAATGCATAAATTCTAGTGCCTTGTGTTCAAATTTGCATTTATGGAAGACTTAAAACTGCGTTGAAAACCATACCGTGTATCAGTTATTGTAGGTAGGGTTCCTTGTACACAAGGTGCTTAAAGCACAATACAGCACAGCTAGTTAGTAGTTGTACATACATGTCATTATAGAGGTGGAGACACATTCTTTGTGTTAAGCCAGCAAAAAGAAACCATGGAGACATAGAGAAAAGTCACAGATGTTGGTGTTTTTTCTTTTTTTGAATCTCAAAAATTGATAAATATGTAAATATTCTGTTTACCTTCCATTGGCAGATGAGCCAAAATGTTAATTTTAGACTGTGTGCACTAATAACATGAACAACATGAGCATCAGACCTTTTTTTTTTTCTCAGGCTTGCAAAAGCCCCTAGAGCAGCATCACACACAGCCAAAACAGGACTATACACAGCTGAAGCTGACGCAGAGGCAGTGGAGGATGACAGAACATGGCCCGAACAGTTACAACAACACTGGAATGCACACATAGCAGTAGTAGTCAATGCATAGTAAAATGACTGTACATCCAATATAAAAGTAATGCATCCATCAGCATAGTATGGCCAAAATGATGATGCCGATTGCTATGATCAATATTGAGATCAGGATTATAGAGCACTATGCATTATGCACTTGCACCATTATTGTGCATCGACACCTGGTTATTACTATAGTTCCCAGAATACTGGAGGCAGCAAAACAAACTACTGTCATTTTGATAAAGTAGTCGAGCAATAATTGGCCTTTCTCATCATTCTGTAAGCAAATGTGATCTGATTTTATTCTGCACACGGCAACTGATCCGCTGGTCAAAAATTCCCAAAACTACCTGTTTTGTTTAGATTTTTAAATCTAAAGCGGCCTGTGTCAAACTAACTGTCAAACACTTTACACTTTCTGTGATTAGCTTACTTCAAATTAAAAGTCAACTCCTGTTTCATGCTTTTAATGTGATCACCCGTGGTGACTTGCTGTTAGTTTAGGAAGTGCTTCATTTGATATGCAGCAGAGCTTTTTATGAGCCAAAGAAGCTGAAGATCACGCTCATTTAGTTGTGGGAAGCTAAAATCGTGAGTAATATAAGTCAAATAAAAACTTTAATGTGTCAACTTTTGTATTACTGTACAATAAGAGAGGCTGGAATAGTGCATATCAAACAAATGAGATGGACTCACCATTAGGCGTATGAGTTGTGTGATAGTCACTCGATTTTGTCCCACGAGACTCATATGCGTCTGTGTAATCCAGCTTGGATGCAACAGTCTTTTCAGTGGATAACCCACATATTCTGTGCTGAGGCACATCCTGTTTGCTACAGGATGAAATGAAAAATTGAGTCATTGGATAGATCTTTTTTGTCAGCATGAATGTGATTGGCACTATAAGCTTTACAGACTTGAAATTCTGTTGATTACATACACCTATTGACCTAATATATTGGCAAACTTGATTACTAGAACACTGTATGTCCATAATGGATGTTATTACATTGTGCAGTGAGTGCTTTTCTGCCTGTTTCCCAAAAGTAGTTTTTTCCTGATACTAATGCAGTAATTAGCTCAGAGTCTGCCACTAAAATGTCACTAAACAATAATATTTCTTTATCACAACTGTTGATTTATTGAGTAAACAAAGCATGTTTCAGTGGCTTACACCCTGATTGGAGATGTAATTGGTTATCCATTATTTCCCACTGATTGACTTTGATTCATTCTAACGCTGTAAGCATTCCATTTTGAGCGTGCTATGTTGCCGCTGTGCTGCTGTTCAGTTTCTCTCTGAAGTTTTAATCAGTAGATGTTTGATAAAGGCCAGAACGTCACTGTCTCACCGACTAAGAAGTGAAAATTGTCTAAATGTGACTGCTTGCCCCAAAAAGCACTCCCTGCTCCTCAGACACACATAATCATCTGCTTGTATTAGTGCAGATAATATTGGTCATTATCTTTGTGTACCTGACAGGGCTTGTGTGAGCAGATTATTGTCCATATATCAAAGTCTCGTGGGAGCATGTGACATTTGAAACATTTCCTTTTCATCTCAGGTGTCTCCCACAGATCCTCTGCTGCTTTGGTGTAAAGGTGGTCACTGCCAAAGGCATGTACTATTGATTTGTGTACAGGAGGCTAGATATTGACCCAATGGGACGTCTAGAGAAAACCACTATGCCCAGCTGACACCCAGCTGTAGGCCTCTAGGGCTGTCTGCCAGTTTCTGATGGGCTTGTTCCACTATTAACGTTTTCCTTCTGCTCCGGTACTACTGACACAGTAGTAGGTTTTTCCTTTCTGTTTAGCTTGCAGTATTGGTTGGTACGGATATTGTGTCTGGTTAAAGGACCTTTTTAGTCCTGGCAGCGTGACATGCAGGCTTCTGATAGTATTTATCCATCAAATTAGCTGTGGTTCTTGAACCAGTTCCGATCAAGATTCTGAGAACCCTGGTGCTCTATAGCGAAACCATTGTAAAGAATGAGTGCTGCACAGTGAACTGCAGACTATGACATGCCCACTTTAAAACCTGTTTTTTGGTTCCAGCTGGAAACCAACTTTTGAGGTTCCAAACCAATTTATTTTTGGTTAAAATGGTCTAAACGGTTCAAAACTATCTGCTTGAACCGGAACGGAGCCGGTTCCCTGTTGGTGGAAAAATACAAAAGGATAATAAGGAGAAATAAAGAATTCTTTTTGAGTCATAATTTGTCTTCAATCTCATTTTGTTAAAAAAAATCGTGACAAAATCATATTTTGAACCCAGTATCATAAATTGTATTGAATTGTTAGTATCATTACATCCCTAACCCTAGGGTAAAAGTATCCCTGGTTGGGAATCACTGTGTTATAGGGATTGTTTCTGCATCCAGGATGAGAAGAAGAGGCCTTTGTAGAAACTGTGTAAGTGTTTTTCAAAGGCCATGTCTGCGAGCACCAAAAACAAAAAAAAACATTGCCCCCCATTGTATTGGGGTGAGGGCATTAGTCTCAGAGGCAGAGATCTTAAAACTTAAGATGCCGAATAAAACCTGCTTGGCTAGATATCATGAAGAGCCACCCTGCTATAAATCTTCAAAGCTTATGATATTTTATTTATTCTTGAGTCTCTCAGAGGTGTTGATTCAGCTCTGGTGTTTTTGAGGCCATGGTACATTGTGTTGTTGGACAATGACTGGATTGCATTTCATTACTCTGTTATTATTTTGTCCCTCCACATGTATAGAGAGTAGAGAGCATAACAGCTGCAGAGGAAAACGATACCAGGAGGGTAATTATCATTAATATTTTAATTGGACAAAGGTTGTTTGGACTAGTCAGTTTTTATATTTGTTTTTAATGT